GATTTATATGTAAAAATACATGGATTTTTTCCCCTATTATTATTAGTGAAATACATAAAATGGATTTGGCATTATAGTATTTCTGTCTTACAAGTAAACTTGCTGTAATTTACCAATGTCTCTAAATAAAATGAAAGCATGTTTAAAAATAAAAATTTCATTTTAAAAGAAATAATAGCAAATTAACTTGTGGAAACATACCACTTTCTTCCAAAAATATGTTCAATCCATTCACAATTTCTTGCCTGTTTCTTCTTAACTCATCATTCATTTCTATGATCTAAATTTTAAAAATACAATTAAAATACTTAAAAACTATTGCATTTAATAAACAACTAGAAAATTTAGTTGACTTTAAAAAGCCCCAGACACAACCCAGATTAAAATTTAAACACTGATTTAGTAATTTTTTTTTAAAAAAGGGGATACTGTGTGGATTTTCTAGTCTGTGCAGAATTTATAAAGATTATCTAAACTACCAACTTCCTAATGTACAAAAGAAAGGCAAATAAGCCCTTATTCTAGTAATCTGCTGTCAGATGGAGAAAAGATCTCTTTTCTGCTTTAATTTTATTATGATAGGATCCCATGGGATCTAAACTGAAACTTCTCAAGGCAATGAAGGCCTCCATAACTCTCGACTTTCTCTATTTATTAACAGAGCTTTTATCCCATTCTCTTTGGATCAAATTGTCTGAATTTAACTTTGGGCAAAAGAGAGGAAGGAGACGGGAGGGGGTGTGAAGGCAGGTAACATGGTGGAACAAGATGGACATTACTACCCCAGGTACACGTACGACTGCACATATAGTATGATGCTACATAGTGTACACAATGAAAAGTTGTGCTGCAATTGTGTACAGTGAATCAAAATGCATTCTGCTATCATATATACCTAATTAAATATATATTTTTAAAAAAAATAAAAAATTGAATTTTTAAGTAGCCTGGTAACTTGGCTCTCTCAGCTTTTATATTTTGGCTAAAATGTTTGCAATCTTATTTTGTACTTCTTTGCTTAAAAATTTCATTAGCTTCTCACAGTCCTTAAGAAAAAAAAAAAAAAAAACCAACAAATCCTTAAGGGCCTTTTCTGATCAAGTTACTACCTATGATTGTAATCCAACTTCCATTTATTCCATTCCCTGTGCTTACAAATGCACTGCTATATGATGTTATTCCTGCCTCGAAAATTCTTTCCATCTTTCTTTTCTGAAAAATTCCTTATCAATGTTAGGACTCAGCTCACTATTCTACAGGTTTCTCCACATTGGAATTGGGTACCTTTGTGTGTCTATAGTATATACTACATAACCATAATCATAACACTAAGCATAAAGTATTATAATTATTTTGTTCCCTCAAGGAATATCTTCTCATTCAGCACTGAATGTAAAACTCAATAAATGTCACTAAATAAAGAAATCAATATACAACTAAAGTAAAGATGGGTGGATTTGTTGTGATTTTGAGTACAACTTGAGCAGGATGAAAAAAATTGACACCCCCCCACTCATTAATTTAAAAGATTTTATGAAAAAGTGAGCTAGTTTCAGAGGAAATTAAGAATGGTTGATAATAATGTGAACACAATTCATTGAAAAAAAGGTTATTTCAGATTCTGCTGATAATATTCAAGATAATAAAAAGAAAGAAAATTGGAGACCATGTTCAGCATCTTAATTTCAAAGATAAAGAAGTGATATAACAGCACAGTCAGGATTAGGTCTCTTTTTTTTAATTTGTATAATTTATACATCTTTTTGCATATGTATTTTCCTTTTCTATTTGTTCTTTTTTAAAAAAATATTTTTTTAGTTGTCAATGGACCTTTATTTTACTAATTTACATGTGGGGCTGAGAATCAAATCCAGTGCCTCACACATGCAGAGTAAGCACTCTATCGCTGAGCCACAACCTCAGCCCCTCTATTTGTTCTTTTTAGTTATACATGACAGTAGTTTATTTTGACATAGTTATACAAACATCGAGCATGTCTCATGCTATTTAGGATTCTAGTCTTGTGGCTGTACATGATGTGAAGATTCACTGTGGCGTATTCATATATGTGCATAGGTAAGTCATGATAGATTCATTCCACTATTTGCTATTCCTATCCCCTTCCCTTCTCTTCATCTCCCTTTGTCTAGTCCACTTAACTTCCTATTCTTCCAGTCCCACCTTCTTTCTTTTCTTCTTCTTCTCCTTTGTTTTTTGTTTGTTTATTAACATGGTGATCTTTAGTGGGTCAGAAAGAAAAATATATGGGCTTAAAAAAATGAACTACAGATTATTAGATAAACTTTGATATATGGAATAGGGTAGTGATTTTCCATGTGTGGTTCTTTGATTAGTAGCATTAGCATCACCTGAAAATTAGCCAGAAATGAAAAATTTGGGCCCTTTCCTAGATCCACAGAATCAGGAACTTTGGGCACAGTGCCTAGCAATCTCTCTTAATAAACTGTCCCAGTGATTCTGATGTATCCTCTTTTTTTTTTTTTTTTTTTTTGGTATTCTCAATTTTGATAACCACTGGGACAAGATTTTCAAAGTTAGAGAAAAGATCTTTATATTTATGTGTAGTAATTTAAGGAGGAACAAAAATTGTGATTCCAAATCAACTAAACATAGAGAACAACCACAAGGCAGCAGTGAAGGCTTTTAAGTAATTTTAAAGTTTAGGTGAGATTACTAAAAGATTTATAATAAACAGCTCTTGATTATTCAGGTTTCTGAAGGGAGAAAGTTGTTGACAATCTCAAGTTATCTTGTATTTGGTTCTGGAGTGAAATTTTTTTTCTGTACTTACCTTTCTTTGTTAATGGTAATATTAACATTTGAAATGGAACTAATGGAGTACTAAAACAACTGTGTGCATTCGGGTAAATCATTTAATCACTCTAGGTTTATATTTTCTTCTGTATAAAATTGCTTGGATAGCCTCAAAGATTCTTGTTCCTCACTATGAATCTATGAACACCGGTTGTCCTAAATACTCCAACTCTTAAGAACAAGTCCAGTTATTTAAACATTTTAATATCATCCCTGGTATTTTAATTTGCCTGGTTAAGTTAGTGATCAACACTTGGATGTCTCTTATGCATTGTTTCCTTTGCAGCAGGTACTGAGAAGAGTTAACCTGTTTTCAATCTTAAGTGTAGACCCTAACCTGTGTTTATTTAAGCAGCTCAGGCTCCCTAATCTCCTTCCAAAAGAGACCAAGAGAATCTTGCAAAAATATAATGAGAATAAGAGATGAGTCAAATGTTTGTAGAGGGAAAAATGGGTAACATTTACATTTTTAGTTAAGAAATGAAGCTGCAGTGAGGTGGATTCTAATTACTGCAACCTCAGCCACAAAATCTGGATAAAATCAAAAAGAATTAGACAGCTAATAAAAACAACAAAAATTTTGTCCTTCTGAATTCAGGCCTAACATTTTCCAGTACATGAAGTGAAACTTTGTAGTCATGGTTGCACCATGCACAGCCACATTTGGCCACACTTCCCATAACGCGTGGGCCCAGGCGAGGCCTGCAGGCCTCATCTCCACATGCCTTGGACGGCTGTGCCTTCAGCCCAGGCCAGGATCCCAGCACCTTGGGTGTCTGGTCTCCATGTACTGCTTTTCTCTGGCTAAGTCCTCTAACACCAATGCCTAGACAGGACCTGCAGCTGAGAAAGAGGCTTTTGTCTTCCTGGATGTCCCCTCTCTACCTCCACCAGTCCTCAGGTGGCCGTTACCTCCATCCTTGGCGCCAGGGCCTCCCCATCACCACCTGCTCCGGCCATGTTGCCCCGCGGGTGGTGCTGGGGGGAGGGGCACGGCAGGGTCTTGCGGAGGGACGCCCACAGGGTTTTAAGGCCTGAGCCAGCAGGCCCATCAATGTGGAAGCAGCCCCAGCGGGGCCCCTTTGCCACACCAGACTTCCCCAGAAGACCTTGCAGCCCCAAATCTACCCAAAGAAGGACTCCTCAAAGTTGGAGTCAAGGGAGTCTTTCCTTTCATATTCCCCCTCACCTCCAAACGCCTGTACTTTGTAGACCCAGATGATTCACTAGGGCCTATTTCTCATGGCAGTGTAACAGTAAAGAACACTAGCATGGGATTAGTCTCAATCGCACCTGCAGTTGGGATTCCTTTATGAAGATTAAAAAGGTTATTGTTGGACCAATACAAATTATATTGAGGGGAATATATATATTCAGGGCTGGCGCAAATGTATAATGTAATTTTTGTCATCCTGTGTTTTTCAGTGATCAGCTCTTCCCTCTACTCAATTACTGAGAATTACTCCCAGGAAGATGTACCAAATTTATAAAAGGAGTAATAGGGGGTAGGGGGTAGTATTTGGGTCAGGGAAACTGGATGACTTTGGCAGAAGAGGAGGCTGGGGTAGGTATAATTCCAGGTAATACAATTTGTATCTCAACATAAGGGTCTTGAGAATTTTAAAACAACCCATGAGAATTATGCAACATGGTGTGCGGAGACACTGTATCAAGTAAAACATATCTTACTTTATACAACAAATATACTAAAAATCATGTTTCAACTTTTTATAAAGTATGTATTGGAGCACTGTGTGATCTGGTTTTTGAAGAAATGTACAAAAAAATCTTAACCTAAATTTTATGTTAAAAATCTAGATCTCTTCCCATGTTCTCTGACAAATTTGACTTCAAAGTCCAATAATTATCCTGACTAAGAGGTAGCATATCTAATCTGTTACTCCCAAGATGGAGGTGATAGGATTTCTAGTTACACTCTTTCTTTTTTCCACCGAACTTTATTTTATCACTTTCTCTCAACTCTCCTGTCTCTCCATCCTACTTTAAACAGGATCGACAATTTCTCTTAGATACACTGAGTAATATGAGGAATGAGTGTGAAATGATCCTACACAGGGCTAACCTAAAACTACCACCCAGGAATATCACTTATTTTCTAATGTGGAATCTAAAAATTATTATGAACGCTGGTCTTGAGAATCAAATGAATAGTTTATATATATTTATTTAAGATTTTTATATTTTTTGAAACTTTTTTCTATACAAACAAGCCAGTGGATCCTCATTTATAAAATAACCATTTGACACACAATACAAAAATGGTTTAGAAATGGACTTAAGAACATATTGATTTTAACAGTAACTTATTTTCTTAAACATATTTAATCAAGATGTTGTGGAAGATGCGTTAAATGATGAAAAAATGGGCGACCATGAACACACCCTTTAATTTCATTTCCAAATTGTTGCTTCATTCTACAGATGATATCTTGGATGTCCTCTTTTGATAAATACATGGGTAATTGTCTAGATAGGCGCACTGCTTCTCCCTGTGAAAAGAAAGTCATATATGCTTTACAATGATATATCCTGATGCAGAAAATATGTTAAGCTAGCAAGAAGACAAATAACTGATTATTTTCATCTTATTAATTTGCTCAACATTTATTAAGTACACTATGTTGTGGATTCTGAAGAGGTAGTAGTGGTGAAAAAATTAGATCCTTGTTTTTGTGTAATTTATCTCCTAGCACAGGAAACAATACAAAAAAGACAAAATTTTGGTGAGGAAATAATACACAAAATTAAACTAGGCAACATCATAGTAATTATGTGGTTGGGAATGGCTTAGTTGACAAGGCATTAAAGCTTCCATTTAAATAAACTATGCTACAAAGATCATGATGCAAAGGAAAGCATCACAGGCAAGGAGAAGAGAACAGCATGTTCAGTGTGGGTACAACATAGTTATTAAAGGGAACAGACAAATAAGATAAGGGAGTTAGGCAGGGGCACATCACCTCTAAAATGGAGTGAACAAATGGGATTTTAATCTGAATGCACAGTAAGTAATCAAAGAGTTTTAAAGTAAAAGTCAACATGTGTTTCACATTTTAAAACTGACTGGCTGCTGAGAAAAGTATGGTTTTAGGCAGGTCAAGAAGAGAAGAGGTTTCGCTGACAATCACCGCAGTCCTGATGAGAAATTGTGACTATAAGTGATAACAGTTTGAGATGGAGAGAGAGATAGATTTCTGACATGAGTTGACAGTAGAATCAAGAAGACTTGCTGATGGACTGGTTTTGAGGCATGCAGAATTAGGGATAATGTCCACAGATATGATATGAAAATGCTGATTTCTGAGATAGGTTTGGGCATAGTTAGCAAAGCTAGCTTCTTTTTAAGATTAAAAAAGATTATTCTACTTTAGAGATCTTAAATTTTAACATTCTCCACTATCACACACCCATTATTTTTCCAACCTATTCCTTTGTTCCAACTAAGTCTGCTCTTTTCCTTCATTGTGACATTTAATATTTCCAGTCTCATTTTCCTGATCCACCAGCACCCTTCAGTCATCTTTCCCTCGTTAAGGTAGGAATACAAAATGAAATATTAAGGATACTAGCTCAGCAACCTAACAGTTTCTTATATATAATGTGTTCAGATTTGTCTGACTCATTTTCTGTCTTTCACTGTATTCATTTTACTAATCCCTAACCTTGGACAAATTCTACTACACACTGTTGGAGAGTGTGGTCCTAGCTGGTTCCAACATAAATGTTAACTCTTGTAAGTCCTCAATGACACCTGGAAATTTTCTTGTTCCTCCTTCATTGACCTTTTTATAGTACCTAAAGCTCTGGCTTTCAGATCTTTGCTATTGTACTTAAATTCCTAACCCCTTCACTTACAGCAGATAACTTATCTTTTATATATTAAATATACAAGTATACCTAAAAATATTTTCACTCTTCTTCCCCTCTTTTGCTCTTGATTCAGTTTCTCCTGTTGAAAACTTACAGCCTCATCCATGTGTCATTTAGAACTTCTCCTCTCCAATCTTTTATTGTCTTTTCCACCAATTTGACACAAACATGTTAAGCACACTCTTTCCTTCCTTTCACTATCAGCTGATTTACTGCCTATTTTCCCACCTCTATTCCACCTGTAGACACTGGCAAGTGTCAGACATCCCTACCACTTTGCCAATTTGGCTGTCTTCAAGATTACCACTGCCACTTAGCAGCAAAACCTGAGGGTCTTTTAGGAACTATTACCTTAGTCAGAATGCGCTATTTCTTATTTTTTAATGACTTTCTTTCTTTGACTTTAATATCCATCTATCTCGTGGTTCTCCTTTTACTTGCTTATCTTTTTAGACAAATATGATATATATCCAAAAGATCTAATATTAGCATACATAGTAACACAGTCAATATAAACGTTTATAGTAACATATTCACAACTGTCAAGCTATGGAACCAACCAATGGATAATTTGGTATAAATACACAATGGAGTCTTACTCAGCCATAAATATGAATAAAATTATAGTATTTGCTGGTGAATGGATAAACTGGAATTATCATACTAAGTGAAATAAGCCAGACTCAGAAAGCCAAAGGTGCAATGTTTTCTCTGATATGCAGAAGATAGTCAGAAAGGAGGGGAAAAAAAAGGGTGAAAGGGAAAAGTAGGATTCCACCAAAAAAGAAGGAAGACTAGTAGGCTAGATGAAATAGACTGAGGGGGAGGGAGAAGAGACAGAATAAGGCCAAGAACAGAAGAATAAATCTAACCTAACTTTCCGATGTACATACATGAATATACCACAGTGAATTGCACCATCATATATATCCACAAGACACTAATCAAAAAGTAGGAAAAATTAAAGTAAAATAGCAGAAAGATCAATAGAGTAGAGGGAAAAGGGAGACAGAGAGGAGGGGAGGGAAAAGAAAAACCTGGGACTGAATTTGGGCAAATTATATTCCATGCTTTTTAAATTATGTCAAAATGAATCCTGTTGTTATGTATAACCAAAAAGAAACAATAAAAAATATAAAGAAAAATAAAAAACATATGGTATAAGGTTGAGCAATTCTGTATTCATTCTAAGGAGATAATTTATGGATACTAATAAAAATAGAACTTCACTACAAAATATCTTATCCATGAGACTCTTTCTCAATATGTACGCAAGGAAAATATCCATAGAGAGTTCACCACAACCTACCTATTACATAAAACTTTTAATGAAGTCTTTTTTAAAAAAATAGTGTTTCCTTCTTGCAAAAAATTAATCTTATAGAAACTATTATCTTTAATCCACTTATTATTTTATTAAGAATAACTAAGTTTCTTAAAACCTAGCCAACCTAATAATTTAATAATGCATACCTCTAAATAACTTATCACTTTGCGAGGTCTACATTCATAAATTTCCTTTGCATCTTTGTTTAATACAGCATTAAGAATTTCTTTTAAATCCATTACTCCATAGAATGGAAGACAATTAGCCATTCCTTCTATTTCTAAGTGGTTTTCAGTAATGGAAACACCTAAAAGAAAAAAATAAAAATTCATATTATAGACACAAGTTAGTTTAGTTAAAATTATATTCCAGACATGTCATTAAAAAGAAAATCACTGTTAAAACATTTAGTTAACCTTCATCAGAATTTAATAGTCAGGACAAAGTTTTGTTCCTAAGTTGGAGAACAAACAGTAATTTCCCATAGGATTTCACATTAAGTCATAAGAGCTCATTGACACCACATGTGCTTTATATAATTTAATTTAATCTCAGTTACTGCTGTCTGCTCCTTACATTTTCTTAGAACATTTCTTACTTTGGAGAGAAAATGAAGTCCCATGATATTTATTAAAATAAAACTGATTTAAGTGTTTTAGCAACTGCTCCTCTTCAAGTTCTATCCCACAGTTTTAGTATCTAAGTTAAAGATCTGAATTATTTCTGTGATTATTTTAACTTACAAGTCATAAAAAGTCACATAGTAAATTATTAATATATTATTAATTTGAGGAAATGAAATACTAATGCTTATTCAAAATATTTTACAAAAATATGTAAAACAGACACGTTATCTATTAAATTATTTTAAATAATTTCATAATTAAAACTAAAATAAAAACTACACGATTGATTGGATGTATAGCTGAGTAGATAATTCATAACAGTACATATTTCAAAGCATCATATTTGGCTTTAGAATACATGCTTTTTATTTAGTTCTGTCTGTGTAATGATATTTTTAATATGGATCTCTATAACATGTTAACTAGAAGGAAAAAGTCTAAATTGGGGCAAGTGGTAGCTATCAATGAATTAATTTTAAAAAAGAAGTGTAATATAACTGGAAGAGTTTCAGATTCTTGAGCTTCAATAATCTAATCCCTAACCTATTCTGTTACAGTGTAGTAGTTCCTTGAACTGGATGGTAGATGCAATGGTAACACACTAAACAGAGCAGATATTCTAATGTTTTTTTCCAGGTAATAAATGAAGAATAATATAAGATGATACACTACCAAGCATTAAAGGATGAGACAGAGAGTTCAAAGGGAGTTTGAGCAGCAAGGGGAACTTAAATGGGACTAGAAATAGTATACAGATAGGCAAACAGGTTCTAGCAGAATATTCTAGTTCTCACTTCTTTTACAGATTTATATAGAAATGAAAATATCCAAAAAAAAGTTTTAAAAAATTTTTCCTATTGCTAATTTTATAATATAATTAGACTGAAAACTCTAATCTTAACTAAATTTGCCCTGGAAATCTATTCACATTTTACAGAATTCCTGATGGATATGGGTTAAAAGTATTTGGCCACAAATGAGGAAATTGAGCAATACTTAATTTCTCTGTTTACAAAATACAAATATGGAAAACTTAGAGACATAAGTTTCCCTAAAATCCTGTGAAATGCTTCTCAATTTTCAGGGAAAATGAATACATGGTTTGATAAGTTTTCACTTCCTAAAGTATGAAATTCTTATGGAGCAGAACAGAAAGCTGTTCTCATCAACAAGCCAACTATTTAGGGTTACATTAAGAATTTTTTCCCTCAAAGCTAGATATATTCTTTCTCTTTCAAAAGCCTTAATTTTTATCCAAAGATGTTTTGTGACAACTGGCAAAATGTCAATTCAAAATTAGTACAATGTAACAAAATTCTCATTAAATGACAGAGAAATGGTCCTTAAGAAAACACAATACAGGGATGGGATTGTGGCTCAGTGGCAGAACACTTGCCTCTCATGTGGGAGGCACTGGGTTCGATCCTCGGCACCACATAAAAATAAATAAATAAAATAAAGGTATTGTGTCCAACTATAACAAAGAAATATTTTTTAAAAAATACAACACAATACAAAGCAGGGGGAGACAAAATGATGATGAAAACATGAATGCCTTTCACTTGATCTGTTACTGACAAAGGAAATAATGCTGATGATAATCTATGTCAAGTTAATTTCAATCAAATCAAGTCAGTTTATAGGTGATTATTTTAATCATTTTTGCTTCTTTGGTGCCATGCAAAGCACCTGGCATTCAATAGGATTTAACAGCCACTACTGATAAGTCAAGACCTAAGAGCATCTGTAACACAGAAACTTACTGGGTAGCTCAAAAATGAACAAGCTCTTAGAAGAAACAGGACAGTTATCCTAACTATTTAAAAAATATATACTGGGAGGACGGGAAAGGCAGCGGAGCACAACAGACACTAGTATGGCAATTTGTAAATCAATGGATGTGTAACTGATGTGATTCTGCAATCTGTGTATGGGGTGAAGGTGGGAGTTCATAACCCACTTGAATCAAAGTGTGGAATATGATATGTCAAGAAATTTGTAATGTTTTGAACAACCCACAATTAAAAAAAATAAAAAATAAAAAATATATACTGATAACACTTTTCATGAAAAAAAATGATGCCTGATACTAGTGTCACTTATCTAGGCAGAAAATCAGATTAGAAATAAAATACCTTCTATACACACATATAATTCTGCTTCAGACTTCAAATAAATTAAAAAGATACCAGGCACTCCAAAGAAGAGATTTCTAGAAGAACTAAAAATGACTCCAAGGCAGTTCACAGCAGGAGTAGATGATGGGAAGAAAAGAGAATATCTGAATACCTATGCCATTCCCAACTACAGTGCCCACAAGTACTTTGTAAATATCCGAATTGTAATAGGAAGACAATATAACAAATTCATTAATAGCTAGGTTCTGAAGGTAGACTGCATTCGTTCAAATCCTGGTTCTACCACTATGTCTTGGGCAACTTAACTTCTCCATTCCTTGATTTTTCCATATTAAAATGGAGACAGAAAAAAAAAAAACCAAACTTACTTCATAGGCTGTTACAGAGATTAAATGAATTAATACATTTAATCAATACTCTTAGAATAGCACTCTACACATAATAGTCATTCAAAAATTATTAGTTGTTGTTGATAAGGAAATTGTAAGGCCAAATGATTTTTCCAAAAATAGCAGAGTTGGGGTTTGGATATATAATCTGCACTCCATTTCTGAATAGCTAATATTGAGATGGGAAGTATGAACTTTTGAGTAGGTTGGTTTTTTGAGATTTTTTCTTTCTTTCTTTCTTTTTTTTTTTTTTTGGTACTAGGGATTGAACCCAGGGGGGCATTATGACCTCTGAGCTACTTTCCCAGTTCTTTTTTCTTTTTAAAAATTTTTTATTTTAAGACATTGTCTTACTAAGTTGCTTATGGCCTCACTGAGTTTCTGAGGCTGGCGTGGAACTTGTAATCCTTCTCCCTCAGTCTCCCAAATCACTGGGATTACAGGATAGCTATCTTTAAAACTGCAAAAATCAAACAGTTTCAAGCTTGGAACATCAAAACATTTTCTCTATATACCCAGCTTTTGCACATGATCTTTATTTTATTTTTGTGACTCAGTAAAATTCTCCTTTAAAAACCTTTCTTTCATGGCTTTGGGTACAACAAGTTTAGGGGCAAAAATGATGATGCTGGAGTCATCCCTAATGGTGCCTTGTGGCCCTTGACACCAGATAAAGGGAAAGTAATAGGATAAGACCCTCCTGGGAGGTTAGGGCAGAATTCAGTTCAGTATGGAAACTATAAAAGAACAGAGAAAGGGCCAGCAAGGAAAACTGAATTCTCCTTAGACAGATAAATTTTCTTTTTGTCTATCTACCCAATGAATTTACATAGTAAGCAAAGAGGGTTATCAGTCTTCTACAAAATCCATGGAATCAAATCACCATCCACTCTCCAAGTATTAAGATGGCTGAGGCTGCATATCTATATGGTAAAGCAGTGCTTCTAAAAAACCAAAAGGAAATACCCATTTTTATTAAGCCATGCCAATAGACTACATATTTATTTATTTTATCATCTAAAGAAATATTTTAATAATAAGTGAAAACAAAGAAGGCAGTGTGAATACTGTCATACAATGGCAAAAATTATTTGATTAGTTAGAAAAATGCAAATGCAAGGTATTGAACTGAAAGAGATGCCAAACTTTCTTGTTTCAGGCAGAGGTGATCTTGAAACGTCGTTTTCAGAGAGCCAACAATGACTTTTAGTGAGACAAAAATATACAATGTTACCTGAAAATTATGAAACCCAACTATAACTCTTGAAACAAGGTTTGTTTTTCCAAATCAGGAAATATTAAATCACATTATCATACCTGATATCAATCTTATCTTGAAACCATTTGCTGTAAGACGAGGATCAGACAGGTAAGTTGACCCACTGTATCTTTGGTCATCTGTTGTCATTTTATATAAGACCTCTAAATAATGAGATCCATTAAGAAGACTGAAAAAGAAATTGTGGTCCTTTAAGTTATTAAATATAAAGATGTAAATGAGAAAATTTATGGAAAAAAGTCAATCCACAGATCTTTACAAAGTATTATTAACCAAAATATAAAGGGAAAAGTAGGTCTATGAGAAAGATTTTTACATTTCTGTAAATATTTTTTAAATGTATTTTTTAAGTTATAGATGGACACAATGCCTTTATTTTGTTTGTTTATTTTTTTGTAGTGATGATGAGGGTCGAATCCTGTGCCTCACACATGGTAGGCAAGTGCTCTACCACTAAGCTACAATCCCAGGCCTACATTTCTGTAAATATTTTATAGGATACCTACTGTATATAGTATACAGAAGGGAAGAAAAAACAAAAGACAATTCCTATCTTTTAAAATGTCACAAATTCAATGTGAAATTTTAAAAAATTACTAGCACAATAAAAACTTTATAAATAATACTTTTTTATACCGTTAAAAGAGATACTAACACATTGTGAAATTATTTAAGTGGCCAGTCCACCCTGTCAAATTTTCAACTGCTAGTCAAGGTTTTTTCACCAACATAGATTACACATACATTTATTTTTTTTCATGCAGGAACTTATAAATTTATCAATTCAAAGCTTGGGAGAGCTTCCTTTAGCTTACTGTAAGCATGGCATGTTTGCCAAAGGTGGCATGTGAGATGATTCTAAGCGGTATAAGCCCCAAACAAAATACTTAGAAAGCCAAAAATTACCTAGGATACAAATTGATCCCTCACATGGGTTTCAGGCTACATAAGGGTGCCTCATAACATAAATCACTGCAACCAAAGTATCTGTTGGAGCTGATGTGACTAGTGACCATTTTCCCATTCATTCAATAAACATTTGAATGCCCACCATCCAGTAGATAGTGTCTTAGATATGCAAAGAAATATTTTATATTATAGTGCAGGATGATACAGTTTCATTACAATCCTATACCCTTTGAAAAAGCAAGCAAATGTCTTTGCTTATCAGCTCTGAACAGTTAAAAAAATCCATTGGCTATGAGAGTAGATATATCACACAGAGGAGAATATCATATGTACTTTTTCTCATCTAATCAATATTCCAAAAATCAATCAGAGAGCTGGTGATGATAATAATGACAGAGTATGACAATTAATCATGCAGGCAACTGTCTACAGTGGAATCTTAGAACCAGTGCTTATTTATTGGCCATGTAAGTCTAGGTTAAGTTATTTAACAACTGTTGTGTGTTTCAGTTTCTGTATCTATAAAATATGGATGACAGTACTTACCTCATAAGATTGCTGCAAAAAAAAAAAAAAAAAAAAAAAAAAAAATCCCGAAAAATCATGAAAGGAGATAGCAAAATTTCTATCATAGAGTAAGTGTTCAATAAACCTTAGCCATTATTATTATTATGAGCTCTTACTTTATACTTTATGGATATCTAAATTAACTACACTTAGAGATAAGCTACACAACTTGCATTAAAATTCTGATAAGAAAACTGAATGCAATAAATAATTACCCTGCATTATGGGGTAATTAGTCCATGACTCAGTTTTGAAATATCTTCATCAGTAACTATGAGGGGAGATGACACTTTTCCAAAAAGGGGAAAGCAATTTTGAATTATACTTTGTTACTATCCATGCTCAATTAAAAAAAAAAAAATTTCAAACTATTATGGGCCCAAAATAAGTTTTTAATGTACTTCTTTTTGAATAACAGAATATTGTAGAGCAAAGTAATTTGAAAAACCTGTACTTTGCATAAGCCCAAACAGATTTTTGAAATAAAAATGAAAATTTACAAGCACCATTTAAAAAAGCAGCTAAGTTTAAAAATTCAGATGTACCCTAACTCTTTTTAAGGAAACAATGATAAAAGTATTACTAGGTTTTTAAACTGTTTTAGAACAACAAAAGGCACTGTTTTCGAATTCTTCCTTTGTCAGTTTCCTAAGCTAATCATAAAAAAATACTATGAAATATATTGGATTATAGTTAATGTTGTTACTATTGTCTTACTTATAAAAAGGTAGATTTGTTTTTCTGTGTTCTGGCTCTGCTCTTTCCCCTTCCGCTGGAAGTGTCTTAAACAAGGATTTTAACACATTTTATGAATGATTCCTATTTTATATCATACTTATATGTTATGTAATGTATACACTTTTGTATATGATATATATGTATATATGACATATATATCAATATATGTATTATATTATGATAATAGGTCAGTTATTCTTATTTTTACAGAAAGGAATTTGCTCATAAAGAATATAAAAAGGAAATATCCCATTTTACAAACACAAATAAAATTAGTTTGGGCAATAATCAACAGATGAAACCATTAGAGAGAAAGGTAGATGAGGAACTATAAGGTGGAAGATCAGGCTGTCATCAGCTGCACCCAGTAATAAATGCCTTTTAATGTAATGAAATGTCAAGCATGTAGCCCCATCTATTAAGAAGTCTTACCTAAAAGTAGAATCTAAATCTATTCACATTTCTTCAGCTAATACCAATTAAACATGGGGAGAGTAAAAGAAGTTATACACTAGGAAGTAAATAAGATAACAGAATATTCTACTGAATAAGTGACTCAGGGCCAATAAGAAATCAGCAATATGATATTAAGGGATTTAGAAGACATAATGAAATATACTATGTGAATCTTGTTGATACAAATAAAATTTTGCATTTTAAAACTATAAAAAAAGACATTTTGAAGCAATGAGGAATAATTTCAAGGAATTATTATTGTATTAAGGTATAAAAAAGGTGCAGTTAGGTAAGAAAACAGACATTTTTAAGAGACATACTAAAGAATAAAGCATAGGGATTATTCTCAAATACTTTTAACAAGTGAAAGAAAATTGTGTGTGTGTGTCTGTGTGTGTGTATAAAAGGTCAGATATAAAAATGTGGTAATATCTTGATAACTGTTGATAAAGGCATTCACTGTATTATTCTATGTTGGACTATGTCTGAAAGCTACAATGGTGCAAAATCAAAGAGAGTCACAACAACTTAACTTCAAGATTACCCTAGGGAAGTCACTAATATAAAGGAAAACAAGCTTGATATTTAATTAAATGCAGAAGTAAACTATCTAGAATATTTGGAAATTATTTATAAGCAATTAATTCTACTAAAAATTAGAAAATTTAAAAATATGTCACTTAACCTAGAAAACACTTTCAACTTTTTATCTGTAATTCCTAATTCAGTATGAATTAATAAATGTTGAGTTTAAAATTATATTACCATACCTCTCTGTTAATATAATTGGCTTTTCCAGTTGTTCTGCAGGAAGTTTATAATTCTCAAGAAGTCTTTTAAATAGCAGGGCTTCTTCTACTCTATATGGATTCAGTAACATTATTTCTGTTTTGGATGTAATTAGCCATGCATCAGGAAACCTGAGATTGTGGATCAAGCAAACTTCATCCTCTTCTAAGTCAATTTTTTTTTGTTTCTCAAAATTTATTTTTAAGTTTTTCATAGAAAAGGGAATCTTTACTGTTTTAATGTTTTCACTCCTTTTTTTTTCAGGTTGGGACTGAAAAAGCTCATCAAGTTTTGGTTGATTAGATAATGAGGTTTTCAACTTGTGCTTCTGTGCCAAAGTCCATGTGCTGGTGGATTTTATCTTTTTTCTGCCATCTTTTAGTATTTGTGACTCGTGTTCAATGGCTTTCTTCATTTGACTATTGTATCGTTCCAAATCTTTAGTAGCCTTTTCCTCATATCTAAGAATAGAGATAAAACAGAACTAATAAGGTCATTATCAGAAATGTATTAATTTTATAAAAAATAAAGATTCCAGGTCCAACAATGACAAAGGAACATGTATTAGACTAACTCCTCTGTGTATAATTATAATAAATGCTAGATGAAATATAAAAATCAACTATTTCAAATAGGCACTGAAGAACAGCCAAAAGCAGGCAGAAATTGGAATGGATTCACACTTACACATTTATACAGCTCTTACCCAGAGGGCAGTCCCCAGCATTAGGGGGGTGAGTAGTGGCAAGAACTTAATTAGAAGGCTTACTAGCTTGAGCTATTACAACACAGAGCTACTTGTTTCTAGAACAACTTAAAATTCAGAGAAAAATCCCCCAAAATCCTATTTGGGTAGGCCCAAAGGAAAACAACCTTCAGAAAGCTAAATGAGCTCAACAGAGATTTCAGCTTCTGCCCAGTGCACGGGAAATAGAGTTTGAATTACATGTGGTTTTATGGCTTGGTAAACACCCTGGGCTTCAATTATGACTGGAAATGGGCTATATCTGGGGGTTAAATCTATGTCCCAAAAATAGGAAGCTAGAACTAAGGGCAAAACCTAACAGTATCTCCCAAACAAAGTATAAAACAAAGCTTTACATAAGCTCAAGGTGATCCATAATTTAAACATCCAGTAGAACAAAAATCAACACATTTTAGAAGAAAACAGAATCCAGAGTTTTCAATATCTTACCCACAATGTCCATTATACAATTAAAAGTTACCATTCGAGCAATAAAACAGAAAATGTGAATCATAGTCAAGAGGAAAAAGTGGTCAGTTAGAAGCCAATTTCAAGATTTAAACATTTGAAACTAGTTTTTCTTTTCTTTCTTTCTTCTTAATAAGTGGTTCAGGATTTAAAGATGATCATAATGAGATACTAGAAGGGGTAACCTCAACAGAGAGTGGAAATTATAAAAAAGAATGAAATCCAAATAGAAATTCTGCAACTAAAAAACACAAAATCTGAAATGAAATATGCACTCTGTAGGCTCAAAAAGAGATCAGAGATAGCAGAAAAGAAGAAGTGAACTTGAAGACAGCAATAGAAGTGATCTGAGAGAGAAATGATTGAAGACTGAAAAGCACCTCAGTGACCAACTACACAACAAGCATTCTAATGTATTAACTCAACTCCCAAATGAAAAAAAGAAAGCTGGAAAAGAAAACAATGGGGGAAGTTGTGAGGAAATTGGGATTAAAAATTGGCCAATTTGAAGAAATACAGTTCACAGATCCAAGAAAATCAACAAATCCCAAGCAGGATAAATGCAATGAAATCCGTAATTAAGTATGTTAGAATCAAATTGGTAAAAACCAAAGATTAAGACAAGATTCTATAACAGAAAGAGGGGAATAAAAATACAAAAGTAAGTAAATAAATGAAGAGGCAGCAACACAAATCTTATAATGAATGTGGCATATGACTGAAGGTTGGTATTAAATAACCTTGTTAAACACTTTTTTTACGTTTTAAATTTGGGACTAGACAATTAAAGCTATTTATTGGTCTCCTTCTCTGAATAAACTGGCTGAATGCTAAGTAAAATGCACATAATATTTTTAAGAAAAATCTTGAATAGATATCAGAGAGCTGCCATATTGGCCAGTTTATGGTATCACACCTTCACAGGTCCACAGCTTTCTCAGAAAGCAATATAAAATGTTTGTTGGCTTAACAAATGACTAGATGTCGTGATGTTTATGAAAAACTTTAAGAGATATGCCAAAAGAACATTAATCCTATTATCTCAGTTAATAGTTCATAAAACATGTTTCAAATTTTTTAAAAAATGGGATTAAGAGATCTAGATAAGAGACCACAAAAGAGCATGTAATTTGTACTCACTACATACTTGCTGAATACAGAAATGTTAGTTGCATAAGAATGCTTAAAAGGACCTTGTTTAATTGTGAACTAGATAAAAAAAATCTTTCTTTTGGTTACTTACCATGGCATATTCACACTTTTAAAAGTTATTTCCTCCCATTTATATTTAGAACGTGAAGTTCTGGATTATTTATAAACAACATGACTTTCAGTAGTTTACTTAACATGTATTAGAAATAAGTATTTTTAGCACTTGGACATTCAAAATTCAAGATTTTTCCTGTGTGGTGGAAAAATGAGTTCAAGACAAAGGTCACCATTTGTAATTAGTTAAAATGTGCAAATTTTCACATATGGTACTAATCTTTGATTTACTGAAGAAGTCAATTTAATTAGTTCCTTGGGAAATATAAAAAGTTATGTCCAAAGAAATATTAGGTAAATGTTAAGTAAAAACAGCTGCTACCTTTGTATTTAATGTCATTAAGGGACTTAGCAACTTGAATGGAAAATATTCCCCATAACTTGACCAGTAGTCAATTCAAATGTTTTTGAGAGTAAAGATTACATTTAATATAAATTTTATTATTTTCAATAATATCCCAATTACAATGTTACTGTTAGTTATACATTCCTATCTACTACAAATGAAAAGTACAAATTAACACCAACTCACTGAGACCCCAAGGGCAGGGCACTTTGTTTAACCCTGGATTCTAATTCTACTAGAAAGGAAAGGAAAGCAAGGTGACAAAAATTTAAGAAAAACAAATTACAAAATAAAAGTATCCCCTATTCCAAAATCTTTCCTAAGCTTTCAGCAGAAGCTTAACAGCAGGAAAACCCTGATCCTAGTCCTTCGACTTACAGAACCTTCCACGATCTGTCTTCTGCTTTCTCCATCTTTCTTTACCACATTTCTTCACATGTTCCTATCATAAAGGGAATTTTTAGTTCCTCAATAACACCATGTTCCTTCTAGGTTGACAATTCCCTAAACCCTTTCTGGTTAGTTTCTATTTAGGAAAATAATTCAGATGAGATTAAGCCCAACTGCTAAGTGTTTTCATCACTCCCTATATTTTCTTTATCTTAAAACACACTAAATTTTAAGATTACTACTTGTTTTATTAAATCTTCCTCACTAGATAGAGGTAGTGTGGTAGTGTGATTCCTGGATGTGGTATCATTTTTACTCTATCTTGTTACTTACCATGACTATGGACTCAGTTGATGGTAGTCTTAGGACCTTTGGCTCTAAAAGATTATAATTACAAATTTCACTGCATTTTCTGACATACAATTAGACCTAATTCCAAGATACCTATATTTTCTTAACAGATTTCTATTTCTAATGTCCAAATTAAATCACTTGATTTAGCAAGTGAAAATCACAACAGAGTGACATTTTCATAGATTCAAAACTTTCACGGATTAAAAACTGATTATATTAACATAGTAATCATTTTTATGTACCAGTCATTGATCTTGTATCTTACTATCTTATTTAATCCTCACAACAGTCCATGAGACTGTCCGGACATTTTTACCAAAAGCTTGCACAGAATGACTGAGAACCAAGGTGCAGTTTCCCTGCTCTTGAAACCAGTGCCTGGTTTGTCTACCTGATGGCAATATAAGATAGAAAATTTTGGATTCCAGAATATTAACTAATGATAACAAATTTTTAGATGAAGTCTATTAATCATAGTCCCAGTAATCTAATATCATGGGATCCCAAAGAAGAAACAATGTGGACATTCCCCAAAAAGCAACTGAAATAATACCCACTATTATAATTTACAAGAACAGTCAGCCTGACACATTACCATTCTAAGCTGACCGTCCCTACTTCCATTGAGAAGTGAAAACATCTATGGCTTTTTTCCATTCTGAGGCAATTCTCAACTCATCACCTCTGTGGATAATACAATTCAACTTCAGTGGGCTTACTGTACTTAAAAGTTAAATATAATCATCTTTTCTATTTTAATATGTACAATATTTACATATTATACATAATTATGGGGTATGGTGTGATGTTTTAGTAAAATATACTCATCTTTAAACTGTTAATTGTTTCATTTAGGTAAAACTAAAGAAAACCACAATTGTGTCAACTTTATTTGCCCGATGATTCAAGATAAACTAAAAATCTGACATTTTAAAAATAATTATAAATTTGAACATTAATATTTGATATATTAAGAAATCCATGTTTTTTATGACAACTATATGTTTAAAATATGAATGTGACCTTTTAGTGACACATGCTGAGATATTTATGAAATAGATCATCTTATGCCTAGGATCTGCTTCAGAATAACAGAGGAGGAGGAAGAAAAGTAAGTAGAGGTATGCATGAAGCAGAACTGAATATGAATTGGCTGGTAAAATGGGCAACATATTTTTACGTATGCCTGAAAAGGAACAAAAGAAAACCACCATCTCTCCCTTTAAAAAGAGGAAAAAAAAAAGGGAAGAGAAAAGTTAATTTATGGAGGCTTTCCATATTGGTATCAATAGTGGTCTTTATTATTCTGCATTGACAGTGTCCTTGTAAGATTAACAGAGCAATGAAAAAATTAAAAAACTGGTTAAGTATCCATGTAGTTTATTATGAAATATACTCTGGATATGGATTACATTTAAAAATTTGGTTCCAGATATTTGATGTAGCATTGAGACACTGTAGATAACAGATGATCAGGACTATAATTCTACTCTTTAATTTTCTGGTGAACCAGATTCTTCAAAACATTTTGTATTTATATTAAGTGTGATAAATCAATTAGAAACACCCATCATATTATTTAGGAACATTTATTTTGACCATCTGATCTAAAGAAAAAAGTAATATTTTAATCAGAGATAGAGCAAACTGCCTTTTACATATAAAAAACATCCTGTATGGTTTATAAGTTTCCTCTAAATAAATAATAAATTTTAGAAGCAAGACTTGAATTATACTGAACAGGGACAGTGTTAATATCACTAACCAGATTCTGCAACAATGGCACAATTCTTTTGTATTGTGCTACACATTTTGGAGACCAATTTAAAAAAGGGAAACAGTCAAGATATTAAAAACATCATTGTTTTAACTGTTCTAATACAAACTTTAAAAAATGTTCCGGCAACAGAAAAGTTATTTAACATGAATCAAAAAAGAAACAGAAGAAAATGGTTGTTTTACATTGAGAAGAATAGAAAACCTTTAACAAACTTAATAAATATTAAAAAGTTGTTATGGCTTATACCAAACAAAATCCCTTACAAAACAACACAAAAATACTGAAGCAAAAAATCTCTCTAAATTAACAACCAAGTGATACCAATGAGATATTGTAGCCAAACCAAGAAAGATTTTCCACTCTCCTTTTCCATAATTAATAAGCTAAAATTTTTTTAACCAGTGAGTCATATAGAATGGAAAGAGCTGAGCATTCAGGTCACATGTAAGCTCTGGAAACTTACTTCAGTTTTTCCTCTTCACTCAATGTCTTCCACAGTTCTTCAATTTGTATTGTTGCATCCTCCAAACTAGTCTTAGGATTTTGTGTGAGAAACTGAGCACGTCGATCTTGAATAAAAAGGGCACTTGCTGACATGGGTTTTTTGATTACTCGACTACTAATTAAGTCATAGGCTGTAAGCTGTCCAGATTTGTTATCTATTACATTTGATTTTTTGATACAGGAATCATCACTGGAGTTCTTTTGTTCAAGGCCTGGATGATTATTATTACTTACTTTAGATGCTAAACTTTCTTGAGGCACTAAAATTTTCACAGGTTCAATATTTTCTCCCTCTGAATTCTTAAGTACATTTCCCTTGCTCCAGTCATCTGCACAAATTTCCAAAGACTTCTCAGAAACTGCTTCCTCTTCTTTTTCCTCATTCTCATCAATATGGCCTTCACTGCCATTTTCAAATTGGGTACGCTTAATAGAACCTACAAAACAAGTTTCACTACATTCACTCTGCTTGTCCTCCCCTAATAAATTATTCAATGAGATTTTTTGAAATGTATTTCTTGGGTCTTTACTAATGCTGTAATTTTCAGAACTAAAATCATCACAATGCTTATCAATACTTATCTGGTGATCTGAACAACGATTAGGGTTTTTTCTAGATTCACCATTATGGACATCATTTTGGAAAGGAATGGCCAAAGTATCAACATTTGGGTAATTATTTCCAGATGATTCCATTTTATTAAAAAGCACATCTGTTTCTGCTGTTTTACTAACAACCATGTCAGCTGAGGAAACATCTGTTTTATTATTTTCATAAGAATTTGTACTAGGTAGAGGTCCATAACAAGTTGTCATCAGATTTTCAAGAGCAATTAAAACAGATTCCTAAAAATAAAAATTAACAAATTTTAGAGGAGATTGTTAAAACAATACTCAAGATTAAAAATAATAAAAAAGAAAAAAAGCAAGTTTTTTAATATTAAAAGAGGACTGCATATGTTTATAAATAGCATAAATATAAAAATGATCAAAAAGGTTACCTTATTCTGTAATAATACTTGACTTTTATCTGGTGTTAAATTTACATCCACATTGGCTGTAGGAACATCAATTTTCATGAAGAAAATGGGATATAAACGAGTAGATTCCTTTAGGCACTTTAGATTATAATAATGTCGGATTAACTGGAATATATATAATGAATAAAAGACAAAAGTACCATGTAAATACAGATATTTTTGCCAATCCTGAAACACTACCAAGGGAAGTAGACTCAACTGAGAAGCTGAGTAGAGGTTAACTGCTTATTAGGAAAAGCAATATCTAAATAACACTCCCATGGAGGACTTGAGCCTATAGGAAGCACAGCATCCATAAGAAATACAATCATCCAATGCAACTGGTATCATGATTAAAAACGATGTCATGAAAAGTTTTGAAGGCCTAGAGTTCAAATCAAAACTCACTGACTTCCTGGCTATTTTCCTTTAAAAAGTCATTTAACTTTTGTTTCCTCACAATAAATGGAGAGAATAATGCATTTCAGAGTTGTTGTGAAGTGTAAATAAGACATTATATGTAAATACTTAGCACTGTGCTTAATAAATGATACTGCATCTGTTTATCACTTCCTTTTCCTATTTTGGAAATGGCCTTTGTAACAATTTGACAAATATCAGAGCTATCCCTTAATTGCTGATCCAAGTGATAGTTGTTTATAAAAGTGATTACCTTTAATATGTCTTTTTGATGTACTGGTCTATTATTAATAAAGATGAAACTCCTCTCTGGGGTTGAAAGACTTGTGGAAGAGTGGTCCGCATCATGCTTTGGAAGGAATCCACTTAGATAAATCTGTAATTGTAATAGATAATTACAGAATATGCCATGTCAATAATGTAGTTCCAAGGGTCTGGCTATATACAACATATTAGAAGAGATAAAAAATTTTTAAAAATTGATTTTCAACTTAAGGTCTAAATAGCCATGTTATTTCCGATAACCACATCTCAAGAATTAACCTTAAGTAAAGTACTGAAGCATATTAAACTTGTGTTCTCTGTCTCTCTCTTTTTAAAAATTTGTTCTTAGTTATGCGTAAGAGTAGAGTCTATTTTGACATGTTTATACAAACATGGAGTATATCTTATTCTAATTAGGATCCCAGCCTGTGTAATGTATACAATGATGAGATTCCCTGTGGTGTTTTCATATATGTACATAGAAAAGTTATGTCAGATTCATTCCACTGTCTTACCTATTCCCATCCTCCCTCCCTTGCCCCCATTCCCCTTTGTATAATCTTCTGAACTTCTTTCTTCCTGTCCCCACCTTGTTGTGTGTTTCTTTGCAACTCCAAGTAAAAATTGCCATTTATAAAACTTCATGAATGGTCATAGTTTTAAAAATAGGACCATAAGAATGTATTCTTTGCTCAATTTTATCTTTTTAAAAAATTTCTTTCCTCACATTGTAACTTTTCTTTGGCTGTTTGTCTTTTTCTTTTTAACTGCCTTTTCCCATAAAGCAGCAGCAATTTCTATCTTTATTCTGAGTTTGCTACATAGCCAATCTTACTGGGTCTTTATTTCTGAGTTAAAAAAAAAAAAAAAAAACTACTTTTTTTTTTTAAACTTACTCGGGGCTAACCTGCACTGTTGTACTTTATCTTCATTACTTAGAGAACTTTTCTACAAAAGTTTTGCTGACAATTTATATGCTATCTTTCTTTCTTCTACAAATATATGAAGAAGAGAGAGAAAAAAAGATACTAGAAAAGAGCCAGAGAGAAGAGAGGAGTCTTTAAAAGATGGAAGGCAGGGAACATTCTCCTACATTTACCCTTAGCTAATTAACACATATAAAGACAATATAGAGAACAATTAAAAATACAGGTTAAAGCTAGACTGTCAAGGTTTGAATTCCAGCTCCACTACTATCTATGTAATTTTGGTCAAATTATTTAAAATATAGGCTCATAATCTTTTATCCAAAACAACTGGAACTAGATGGGCCATTAATCTGCTAAGAAACATTAATATTAAAATTTAGTTTAGGTTAAGGAAAGCAAGTATGTCAGTAGTGTGCTATTTTTAGTTAAGCAGGAACTATGAGGCTCCTTACCAACACAGCCTGTAGGCTGCCACCTATGTCCATGGCTAACCCTCATCTTGGAAATAAGTGTTTAAGAAGATGCATTACCAATTTTAGAACACTAAGTGCATTATTGTCACAGTGCCAAATTGTGCCAATTTGAAAAATAAATTAATAATGCTGGATAACCCATTACAAAATGATACCACTTAATTAACTGTAAAACTTCACAGCATTTATAAATGGTTGTATAACTTACCAGGTAACATGAGACCCTTCTTAAAGCACATGCTGGGTATCAGGAAGAGAGTCTCTTTAGCCTCTGAAAGACTTATTGGTTGTGTGGATTTAAAAAACAAAACAAAACAAAACCCAAAAAACTACCTCCTTCTATGAGTAGGAAAGAACAAAGAAGAAAATAAAAAAAAAGTATATAACTGCTAGTGATTTTCTTTCACATTATCTTAGTTGACCATTTGTATAATTACTATTACTTCTAAACTTTGAGCTTTAAAAATGGTTTAGGATGATTAGGATAATTCTAAGATTCAATTATGTTTAAGTTATATGGAAAAGTAAAATAAAACAGCAAACTCTTATAAATGCTATAAAAATTAAAAATCAGGCTAGTTCATAGAATAAGAACATAAAGAACCAATCATGCAACAAAATAAGAAACTTGAAAGACTTTACAAGAAAACTCTGTATCTTAACTTAAAAAATTGAAGGCAAACTACAGTTAAATATCACTCCCCTGATTGCTTCTCAACTATGGGTTTCTCTTCTTCTACAATCCCTTCTATAAGCTGCCTTCTACTTCAATGATCAACTCCAGTCCTCTAATTTGACTCTCTATGTAGAGTAATAACCACTCTCTCCTTCAGGAAACATTTCACTACATGAACCTGTTTCAACTCCCTTTTAGTCTTTCTGCTTCCTTTCTGACACCTTTACCTCAGTCTGGTTTGCTGGTGTCTCTTTTCCTTAACTCCTGTAAATGATGATGAACAATCTAAATTCCATCATCGGGCCCTTTTTTTCTTGCTCTCTAGTTACTCTGAATAATTTCATTCACATCTAAAGTTTTAACAACTAACCATAAATCAGAGATGCTGACATAGATATTACAGTCTTATTTCTTTCGATCCTGAATGCTTAATATCAACTGGTTGTCATAAAGATATTCTCAATCTCATCACATTCAAAACTTTACAAACTGTTTCATCCCACATCTACCCTGGTTTCCAACTGGTTCTTCCTGTATTCCTTTACCATGATAAAGGGCCTGCTATTTACACAGTCTGCCAAACCCATCTCTTCTTCTCTATTCTAATTATATGGTGCAACTGTGACTGGTTACCTAATCCTAATCTTTCTCTTCTTTCAGTAAAATTCCATAACACTATGGAGTTATATTTATAAAATAAATTATTCTGGTCAGGGTAAAACAAGTTTGTGGCAATTCCCTTCTCTCCCATCCCAACTGCAAACTTATATAGCAATGATAAAGTCAATTTTTAAAATAATTTCTGAAGATCTAACCATATAAAAGTGAATCAAAGATATTATGGATTTGAAAATTAAATTCTATCATGACATATGGGCAGAAAACGCCATCCAAGGGAGAGAACTGAAACCAGTCTTGCAGTTTGAAATAGGGAGCTCATCTAGCACCTCGCCTAAAAAAACAAAAAAAAAAAAAACACAATAACTTCAAAATACTGTGACCACTGTCTGGAGTTGCCCGCCAGGGTCACAGGAAAAAACAGAGACAACTCCAAAACCAGGAAGAAGGCTAAGCCAAACTGGCTAGGAAAAAGAGTGTAAAATCCTGGCAGGATGAGAGGCATGAACTACTAATGTCATACCTGGTTTTCAGCTGGGGTTGGGCAAGAAATATCCGCCAAATAGGGAAAGGAGAGTTAAGTGGGGAGAGAAAAAAACAACAAAAACAAACCTGTATTCAAAATGATTTTGCTAAAATTGAAGTTTCAAAGCATATACAATAGAAAAGAATGAGAGAATTTTCAGGAAAACAAATAATAGAGTAAAATGGAAAAGACTGAAATTGGTATGTTTAGCATGCTTTTCAGAAAGTAAAAAAAAATAGCATTTATTAAAAAATAAAAGGTATATAAATTAAAATTGGCAGCTACAAATCAGTTTTAGAAAAGAATACGAAAATAAATAAATTCTGAATCCTGGAAACAAATAAATGGTTTTGGGAACAAAAATAAAGCAACATTGAAGAATTCATTCAGAAGTTAGCATGGAGTAATGCAGAGAAAAAAATACCAAAAGACAGATGTCAAGAAGGATAATATGGGGTTGGAGATATAGCTCAGTTGGTAGAGTGCTTGCCTCTCATGCACAAAGCCCTGGGTTCAATCCCCAGCACCACATACACATATACAAAAGGATAATATGAGGTGCTCCATCAGGCCAACAAAGCCATGCTGGAAAACACCGAACCAAGGCTGCCACAGTAGTGGCTCAGTTGAGATCATCATTCAGAATAAAGAGATTCTTCTCATGTGAGCTCTCTGTAGATAAAAATAAGCCTTACATAAGGGAAGAGATGTATAAAGATCATCTATGACCAACATTTCCAACTAACAAATGACCTATCATCTCAGTTTAATGAATTTTGTCCACCCAGGTGAACAAAATTTTCTAGCAGATGGAAACCAACTTTTGGCCAGGGATGAGAAGGGGCTCAAAGAAACTCTGATACTGAACAAGTCTTTTTCAATTGTATAAGCCTGTAAAGCACAGAGTGGTGATAGGTAACTTGTGGCAATAAAAATATACCCGTTTAGGCACAGAAGACAAGAACAGAAAAGGAATTTGGTTATATGGTCACTTTCAACAGAGAAATAGACGAAGTTTAACTATTTGAACAGTCCATACAACAGGAACACAAGCTTTCCAAATTCTTCCATTACTCCTTGCAAAAATAATCACATGAGGGCATAGCAAAAATCTGGTATCTATAATAGATTACCAAGAGTCTTTATGCAATTCTATGTCAAGAGAAAAGAAAAAATATATCAATGGGCAAGCATAGATCTGGCAACATATCTCAAAATACTCTAGAGAAAAAAATTGTAACTGAAGGACCAACTCATGTGACAGTCCTATGCACACCTGGAAGCACAACTGACCAAGTCTGAATCAGTGCCTTCTGTACTTGAAGGTATACCTAATGACCTTGGAAAATACAAATTCTTTTTCAGTAGATCTGGGTTGGGGCCTGGCGTTCTTTATTTCTAACAATCTTCCAAGAGATACCAACACCGGTAGTCTGGAGACAAAAACTGGTACAGCTAGAGTATGTAGAGCACGATGACACACAGGCAACATAATCCCCTAAAGTCACAGGGAACTAAGGAAAATTTAGATGTGCCTTTATCATCCTGCATCAGTTGCCATAAGCAGAACTCCAGAGAGCCTACAGGCTTAAAATTAGCAAACAAAGGGCAAATGAAAGTACTTTTCTCTAATCACAATTAATCTAACTTTGTGCTAGAAGTAAAAAAGGAAAGAGAGATATAATTAATTTCCTGAGTAGCACCAGGTCAGTGAGTAAGGACAGTGTGAAAAATAACTCCTCATTCCATTATGGCATTTGTGAATCTACAAGTTTCCAGGAACAGGAACAGGATCTCGATTACATAACACTCAAGGGAACCCTGAAAAAATCAATAAGCCCAGACATAAACACTGAGTTCCCAATTAGATTTCCTACTCAAAAGGAAAGACAAGGAACGAGAATCAGAGGTTTGGAGGAAAGAGACCTGATAAGGAAAACAAAACCTGACTTCTAATAAATAAAAATAATTTAAGGAAAAAATATTTTAAAAACAAAAACTTAGTATCTTTAGAGAGATTCAAATTATGTACCCATAACAGTAAGTTGTAAAAGAGCAATAAAGTAAAAATACTCTTAGAATTAAACACAATTTTAAAAAAAAAAGATAGAAGAATTAAAAAATACAAAAAGATCTCCCCAAACTTACAGAAGATGGAATAAGGGAAGGTTGTAATCAATAAGGATTTCCATTAAAAAACAGAGAAAAAAGAGTGATAATGAATGGAAATTTATAACTCAGGCTAAGAAAGAAACAAGTCTGCAGATTAAAAACATCAGTGTTAAGTGCACAACACAATAATGAACAATAAAAGATACACACCTAAACAGATACTTGTAAAATTTAAGAACAAGGGATTGGGGTTGTGGTTTAGTGGTAGAGCGCTTGCCTAGCATGTGTGAGGCACTGGGTTCAATCCGCAGCACCACAAAAAAATAAATAAATAAAATAAAGGTCTATCAACAACTAAAAATATTTCAGAACAAAAATGAAGAGAAGATCCTAAGAATTTGCAGGCTTGAGTATATATGCAGCATGGGAAAAGGAAGGGAAGGCTAAGCAAGCTCACCTTTCATAGTGTAAATACAAGGTAAGTGTCTAAATTGAAAAAAATTTCTAGAAATCAATGTAAGCAACAAACAGATAAAAGGAAAACAGAGCTAGGAATAGTTAGTTAGCTTTGTATGTATTTTCTTTGCCTTATTTATATATTTGATAAAAATGTTTAAAGAAAAATTTCTAACTACCCCACCTTCCCAAAAGGGAAATATTTTAATAATTTCATTGGTAAATCGGAATTTTTAAAGAATTACTATAATTGTTATATACCTGAGATTCTTCAGAGTGGTAATGAAAAGATTCCATGTTTCCCATAACAGCAGTCCCCAGAACTGACATGAGAGCCATCTTGTGGTCTGATACTCTAGTTTTCTGCCAAATAACTGCCTAAAAAAAAAGATATAAACTTTTTAAATGATTTAAAGTTTTTAAATTCAAGACCTTACCATATTTATTTCTATACTTAGCATTGATTCTCAACTTATATTTTCAACATCATTTAGAAATGATTCATGAACTTTAAAGTCTGACGAACAAACCCTGGTTCTGAATTTTAGAATCTATGTGTGTTGGAGTATACAATCAACTCAACTTCTCTTAACCTCAGTTTTCTCCTTCCTATAAGATGGACACTTCTGTGTCAGAGGTGTTAGAAAATGAAAATATATAACACAGGCAAGCACACAGGCCAGTACCTGGCATAAAACATTTTCATAAAATATTAATTTTCTCCCTTCTCTTTCCCCAACTTTCAGAATATATACTTCGATGTTACTTAAAATTAAAGTGTTGGCCAGGTGTAGTGGCACACACTCGTAATCCCAGTAACTTGCAAGGCTGAAGCAAGAGGATCAAAGTTTAAGGCCAGTCTTAGCATCTTAGACCATCAGCAACTTACCAAGACCTTGTCTCAAAATAAAAACAGAGGACTGGGGATGTTGCTCAGTGAAACACCCCTGGATTCAATCACCAGTACCAACAACACAACACAAAGTTAGAGAAAGTATTACTCCAAGTAAGATATTACTATTTTATTGAGGATGCACAACTATGCTATAGGACTTCTACAGTCAAAAAGATATAAAAATTTTGAGGTGAGACAGAACCTCATGGTGGAAGGGTAAGGCAGAAAACTTCTCAGCTCATGGCAGCTAGGAAACACAGTGAGGAAAGGGCCAGGGACAATATACAGTTCCCCAAGGACATGCCTCCGATAACCTATTTCCTCTAATCAGGGCCCCATCTGCCTTTAAGACTACCTCCTAGTAGTCCATTCAAATTATTAATCCATCAAATTAGCTAATCCACTGACTAGGTTACAGCCCTCATGATGCAATCACTTCCCAAAAGTCCCACCTCTGGACATTGCTGCATTGGGACCTGAGTCTTCAACACATGAGCTTTTATGTGACATTCCAGATCCAACCATAACAGATGCCCTGAGAATTACTGGTACTTCCTGTCACACTAGCTGTAATGTTACTACTTTCTCTTCTATCCTAAAAATAGGGTGGAATTCAAGACAGTGAAAGTGACACAAGACTTTTTTTTAGTTGTTTTGGTTTATCTTATTTTAAGGTAAACCACTTGCAAACAATGGGATTTTACTAATATTAATAGTGTGGTCAAAAACCACTGGGCTGGATAATAGAACCAGCACAGTCAAAAGAGGGAAAGAAGATAGACTAAAGGTATGAAGTAGACTTATGTGACTTTGTGATGACTGCATGCACAGAGAAAGAAAATGAGAATCATAAACAACTCCTAGGTAATGGCAGTATCATCATTCTCTAAGATAGCAACCTTTTATTCCAATACACTGAAAAATTTAGAAGATATTAGCAATGTTTTAGACACATATGACCTATCCAAATTAAATCAGGAGGATAGAATAAACCCAAACACACCAATAATCAGCAATGATACCGAAGCAGTAATAAAAAAGACTTTCAACAAAGAAAAGCCCAGGACCAGATGGTTCTTAGATAAACTCTACAAGACCCAAAGAAAAACTAAAGCTAATCCTCCTCAAATTATTATTATTATTATTATTATTATTATTATTATTATTATTAGTGTGTGTGTGTGTAGCACACTATAAAGTCATTATCACTCGTATATCAAAACCAGATAAGGACACAAAATGAAAGAAAACTATAGACTAATATCCCTGATGAACATAGATGCAAAACTCCTTAATGTTATTAGCAACCCACATTCAAAAAATACACTGATAAGACTGTACAGACCATATGTGGTGGTGCACACCCAAAATCCCAGTGTCTTGGCTAAAGCAGGAGGATTACAAGTTTGAAGGCAGCCTCAACAATTTAACAAACAAGACCTTGTTTCAAAAATAACAGGGGTTGGGGATAACTTGGCGGTATAATGCCACTGGGTTCAATCTAACATAATGCTTGGGGGCAGGGAGCTGAGCTGTACATCATGAACAAGTTGGTTTCACTCGTGGATGCAAGGTTGGTTCAACACATGCACATCAATAAATGTAATTAATCATATAAATAGAATTAAGAACAAAAATCACATGATCATCTCAACAGATGCAGGAAAAGTCTGACAAAATTCAGCACCTATTCATGTTATAAACACTGAAAAAAGAGGGGATACAAGGAGCTTACCTCAACATCATAAATGCTATATATAAGAACTACAAAGCTAACATAATATGGAACAGTAAAAAGCTGAAAGCATTTCTATTAAAATCAGAAACAAGCCTATGATGTCCACTTTCACCACTGTTATTCAATGCATACTGTTAGGGTCTGTAAACAAGTCAAGATAGCGCCTGGCATTTTGCCAGAGGGAGTGGTTTGTGAAGTAACGCCAGCAAGCCATTAAGTGTGGAGATTCCTTATTGGTTGACTGCTGTATCTAGTTTATGTTAATTAAGATAAGCTGTGTGGAATGTATATATAACCCTCCTGTCCTAGAATAAACGGCTCCCACTCCTGCTGTATCAATGTACACAAGTTGTTCGTCACCCCCCGGTTATTTTGCTGCAGCCGGACTGCGGCAGCATACTTTGTAAATTCAGTCAGAGCAATTAAGCAAGAGAAGAAAATTAAGGAATACAAACAGAAGTCAAATTATTTGTTTGCCAATGATATAATTTTATCTATACTTAGAAGACCCCAAAACTCCACCAGATTTCTAGAGCTGATAAATTCAGCAAATTAGCTGGATAAAAAAACTCCAACATTCAAATATAAGAAGTTTTCTATATCCCAATAATGAACCTGATGAAAAAGAAATCAGGAAAACACTTCTATTCACAATAATCTCAATTCCCCACACCCCACCAAAGAAAAGCCCCCAAACCAAAAACCTCAGAATAAATCTAACCAAGAAGGGATAAGACATTAGAAGACTGGACAGATTTAATAGTTCTGTTCTTGGATTGACAGATTTAATAGTTAAAATGGCCATTCTACCAAAAGTGAAATACAGATTCAATGGAATCTCCATCAAAATACTAATGGCACTCTTCACAAAACTAGAAAAAATAAGGTCCTAAAATTTTTATGAAAGAAAAAAAGACATAGAATAGACAAAACAATTCTAAACAATAAGAACAAGGATCAAAGTATCACAATAACCAATCTCAAATTATACTACAGAGCTATAGTAACAAAACCAGCATGATGTTTGCATATAAGCAGACATGAAAACTAACTGGAACAGATAGAATACAGAGACAAATCTACATATGTACAGCCATCTCATCTTTGACAAAGTTGCCAAAAATATACATCGCAGAAAACATAGCTTTTTAAACAAATGGTGCTGGGAAAACTGGATATCCATATGTGGAAGAATGAAACTAGATCTCTACCTATAACTCTGCACAAAAGTCAATTCAAACTGGATCAAAGACCTAGAAATTAGACTGGAAACACTGCAACTGCGAGAAGAAAACACAGGATCAACACTCTAAGATATAGATGCAGGCACTGACTTCCTTAGTAAGACCCCTGAAGCTCAAGAAATAAACCAAGAATTGAAAAGTGGAATGGGATCAAATTAAAAAGCTTCTGACAGCAAAGGAAACAAGAGCATGCAGAGAAGATGATAGAATGGGAGAATATCTTTGCCAGGTATTCTTCTAACAGAGGATTAATATCCAAAGTATAATGAACTTAAAAAAACTTCACATACACACATACCCACACACACCTCAATCAGTCCAATCAATAAATGGGAAGTGAACTAAACAAACAGTTTTCAAAAGAATAAATGCAAATGACCAGCAAATGTTCAACATTTTTAGTGGACTGCTAGTTAGAAAGACAATCATCAGGAATAGAAATAATAATAAATGCTGACGAGGATGTGGGGAGAAAGGAACACTTACACATTGTTAGTGTGACTATAAATTAGTACAACCAATATGGAAATCAGTATAGAGGTTCCACAAAAGACTAGGAATAGAATTACCACAGGACCCAGCTATCCCACTCCTTGATATTTATCCAAAAGAACTGAAATAAAAATACTCTAGTAATAAATGCATTCCAATGTTTGTAGCAGTGCAATTCACAATGGCCAAGTTATGGAACCAGCCTAGGTGTCTGTCAACAAATGAATGGATAATGAAAATGTGGAGTTTATATACACAATGGAGTTCCACTCAGCCATAACAAACAATAATATGTCCTTTGTTGGTAAATGGGTAGAACTGGAGATGATCATTCTAAGTGAAATAAGCCAGACTCAGAAAGTCAAGGGTAAAAGTTTTCTCTCATACAAAGACAGGAAATGGGAATCTATAGAAAAGGGTGTAGGGTGTCTCATGAAAATAGGAGGGAGAATAGTAGAGAAGAGAAAGGGAATCAAGGGAATGGGAGAAGACATGGGAAAGGAGAAGAAATATGGAATAAAATTCATCAAATTATCCTATGTTCATGTATGAATATATCACAATGAATCTCTGTAATGTACCAACTAAAATAAATTATAAACGGAAGAGTAGAGAAAGGGGATGGGGGGAAGGAGGAGAGATGGGAAACAGAAAGTACTGGAAAATGAAATGAACAAAGTATGATATGTGCATACATGAATATTTTGTCACAGTGAACCCAAATAATATGTATGATTATAATGCACTAATAAAAACCATAATAAAATATAAAACAGAGTAAACAAACAAGAAGAAAAGAGTATTGGTTGCCATATCTTTGAACCTGCTAATAACTATAGACTTTGCCCACTACTTTACATTAAAAAGTCCAAGGCAATACTCTTTCTTCTTTTAATAAGTTTAATCTACATATTGCACAATTTATATACCTTCAGTTTACAAATCAATGGGTTTTAGTGTATTTATAGTTGTGTAAGAATCACAATCTCATTTTAGAACATCTTAATCA